ACCTTCCTTATTCTCACCACAGGACCTTCCTCCTGGTGTCTGATAACGCTTGTGCTCCTCAGTCCTCCAGCAGCACACCCTCTCACTCTCAGCTCCTTGCGCCTCTTGCTCCCAGCTCCTCACACTCGCACCACAAACTGAAGTGAGCTCCTTTTAAAACCCAGGTGCCCTGATTAGCGGGCTTTAATTGATTCTAGCAGCTTCTTCTTAACTGGCTCCAGGTGTCCTAATTAGCCTGCCTGCCGTAACTGGTTCTAGCAGGTTCCTGATTACTCTAGTGCAGCCCCTGCTCCGGTCACTCAGGGAAACAGAAAACTACTCATCCAGTGACCAGTATATATTTGCCCTCTACCAGACTCCTGTACCCCACTGGTCTGGGTCTGTCACAGTACCCTTGTATATTCGCTAGGATGCTCTCTTTTGTAGCAATTTATAATTGCTGGTGGAAGATCAGATTAACAATCTTAGCAGTTCAACTCTCACCTGAAGACACTTTAGGGGATAAGAACATAGCTCTAGTTTCCAAACCTACTTGATCCACAGTTTCCCAAATTAACAAGGGTACCAACTGCAAGAGTGTTTTTTGTTATATGGTCACATATCATCAACCCATTTCATACAACCCAGTGATTTGTACTAGTGATGAAAGGTTTCATATCCCTTTGCTAGTCCCCAGAACTACTAGTATGTTAAATCTCTTATGAATGCAGACCTGGAATACAACATACACAATTTAAATAATAGTGCCTTACTTTCTAGCCATTCCCCTTTCTCTCTTTCTAAACATTTTAACTACACTTATCTACTATGTCCTATTTATATTGCTCTACCATTAGAGTGACTTGTGTTTGAAGATCGCCCAAAACTTTTACAATTATTTAAACCTTACGATTTCTGTAAGGTAGGTGAATAATTTTTTTCCCTACAGGTAAACTAAGCACAGGAAAGTAAAGGGAACTGCCTAGTGTCACACAATAAGTGGCAGACACAGAACAAATTGCAGGAGTAGACTCCCCCCTCCCTTCTAACCAGTAGACACTCCCTTTATTATATTGACAACCTTTCACAACGCTGTGGAAGTAGTTCATAACTTTGAAGAATTGAGCCCTTAATTATTATAAAATACAATATAATTATCTTAGAGAATGTTACGGAGAAATCACAGTTTGGATAAAAAGTGTCATTACTATGGGTGATTTCAACCGTGACATCTCTTACTATGTACAAAGAAGGTTAAGATGCAAGTAGGGTCTAAAAACACTGACAGGACTAAAACTGTACCTGTCTCTATGCCTGGTATACGACTAGTGTTGAACATACGTTCATACTGAGAAGAGCACATTGGGATGGTATTTTGAATCATAAGCTGAAAGGAAAAAAGGAAAGTCAAAAACAAAATAAAAAGATTTCAAATGATTGTGAGATCTCACAGAGAATGGAACTCTCATGGAGGTAAAAACGTAGATAAAAACCAAAAGGACCTTAAGGAACAGAACAGAGAAAAAGTAAGTATGAAATAACAAGGCAGCAAACAGTTTCCTAGGGCCAGCTTCTAAACAAAGGAAAGGAACAGCCAAAACCCATTAATCTGTCAGAATACTACCGTACTAATTGAAGTCAGTCAAAAAGGAGAAATGTCTCAAACTATTATGCTAATTTGCTAATCGCTGAGAAATGGTCATGGCACACATTCAGTTTAACATAAGAGCGTCTTTTACTCCTTTTTCAGGTTTTGCTCTTTGAAAGTACAGGTTTAGCAGCTTATGAATATATTAAGGGGACACCCTTCGGAAATATTCCGCAGACTGTTTGGATTCCCTGATGTTCCTTGTCCTTGGCTGGCCCCGCTTACCTGTCTCCTCTCCTGGGATACGGGAGGTATTAAACATTCGCTCCCACTGAGCTGAGCAGAGTGGAACAGTGGATCCCATCAGAAGAATCTATGCCGCAAACGTACGTTACAATTGCGTTTTTATATATACAATTAGCAAATTGAGAGAAAAAACACACATGCTGGTTAGAGAGAGACTGTAGGACAACATGAGGATTCTTAACACATCAAAGACCTTTTTTTCCCCCTTTCTTTCCAGTTGTCCCCTGACCTACCCATGTTAGGTTCCATAGTTTTTCCACTAGTCGTATGTATACTGCCCAGCTACTCCGAGCTTCCACTTTAAAAGCAGATGATCAAAGCTGTGGATTTAACAGATTCAAGGTTTTCTCAGTGCCAATCACTGATGCAGAACTTCATATCATCCACTGGGAGTTGCCTCTTCACAGCCTCTGATTCCTCACAGTTACATAGCATATCAGTGAATATATTTTATATATGTATATATGCAAGAGAACAGATTCTTATTAGACTGCAGTCTCTTAAAACAGTCATATGATCCTAGGTCTCAAGCAGAACTGATTCTCTCCATTAGCAGCATTTATTCATTAAAATAAACGGCCACGAAGCGGAGTAGAAATTAACTACAAACTGAAGGCACAGAGGAAAGGGTAAGCCCTTTGTATGAACAACAGAAAAGCCATTGGCATGGCATTACCTGTACATTACTCCATAAAAAAAATAAAAATAAAAATCTAGTCATCCTCCTGAGACTCATTCAATGACTGTTTTTAAAACAAACAGTGATACCACCAAAATGGAGAGGGGAGATATTCATATTTAGAAATGTTTTCTTCTAAAGTTTTCAAATACCATTTAAATAGTGGTTAAGAATTTTCTAGCCTTATTTTTTAATTTTTATAGGATGCAGTGAAATGGACTAAAGCCATAAGGCCCATATCAGGATCTGAATTTCCCCAAAGTTTGGAACTATTCAGATGCTGGGTTTTGGTTTGCATCTGTCTCTAGTATGATTTCCTGGACACATCCTTCAACTGCTTCAGTTGCAACATAATAGTAGAAGTCACTTCGCTGAGATGCCTGCTTTAAAAAAGAAGATGGTCTAGGAATCAATTTTGTCCAGTGGGTTCCTACAGCCCTATGTGATGCATTATTGGTATGCAGTATCCATTTCAATGGCATGCACAGAAAGGGTTTTCTAGCTCTACACAAGTTTTAAGCTACTTTTTGGTTTGAAAATGCCTCTAGCCTCCTAACTTGTTTAGCACTTAATGTCTACACAAAGGGCAGTGAAATGATCTGATCTTACCCAGGTATTACAAAACCTTGATTTCCTAATGCTTTTTATTACTCTCCTCCAGGCTGCACTTTTTGATAAAGTTACCGAATTTTACATTTAGTTTTCAGGGTTTTAAAAGTTTGAAGTTTTTCAAAATTTAGCACAATTTTACTTATTTTAGAACTGAAGTACTGTGAGGATAGACTGGAAATGTAGTTAGATGGATTTCTGCCACTGAGATTTATGGTAGTTGTCACATTTCAATTTCCACATCAATATGCCCATTAAATAGGTTCCTCCATTTTGCCAGGTTTATTTGCTGAGGTGTAAGGACTCAAGGTTGGCCCTGTTTGTCCTTTGTGTGTGCGTGCATGCACACACATGCTGCTCTCTGTATTCTTAAAATGCAGCATAAAGGTAAACAAAGAATGCAAACTATTCCGGCATGACATTTCTGCTGCTCCTGGAAAATGTCATTTTCATTATCTTCTGTCTTTTGTCCATTAAAAACTTATTGCACAAACCTTAAAACTTGCCTTAAAAAACACCACCACCACAATTGCGTCTTCCTACAGGGTAGTCCAGACTTCTGCAGTTTGAATATATTATCATACTAATTAACATGTATGTGCATCGTTGCCTTCTACTAGACAGAATACTCAAGTGTAACATGACTATTTTGCCCTCCAGTGGAGTGCAGCCCACAGCAAAGTTAAATTCAAACACTACTGTAGCAAAAGGAAGTTTTCCTTTAGCTTCCATTGTAGAGGTCTACATCTTTTTAAATAGAAGGTCCTACGAGTGGAGTTTTAACTAGCAACCACAATGAGTTTGCGGCCACATGTTAGCTACAGTTACATACACTGTACCTTAACATAAGGCATTACTTCTCTCCTAGGTTACTTTTCAAAAAGGAGGCTGATTTGTTAAAAAGTAAATTTGAAAACATTAGAAACTACTAAAATGGATTTACATACTGGCTTGATTTCCTGTCTGTCCAGCTTTTTCCTGTAGAGCAGGGTGGCATGGATAACATTACCTGCTCTAGCTGCCTGCAGGGAAGTGGGAACAACATACAGAAAGTCCTGAAGATAGAAGAAAGATAAGTTAATATATGTACTATAATTGCCAAACTCCATTCAGCAAACGGAGTTCATTAATCATGCATTAGTCAAAATACAATTTTCCCCATAATTAATTCCAGCGTCATTACAGAAAAGGCGTTCATGTAGGAAAACTGACCAAGTCACTAGCCATAGTGTGCTTAAAAACTTCCTACTTTAAACAAGTTTTCTTAAAAAGTCACAAAATAATAGCAGTACCTGCTCCTTGAGTATCATCAGATTGAAGACTTGTTGACTGAAATCTAGTGTATCAAACAGTTTACTTAGCTAGGTCTACAGTACAAGCACTACCGCAGCAGAGCTGCAGCTACACCACTGTCAGCACTGTTGTGCAGATACTTGCTGCAGCGACAGAACAGGTTTTTCCATTGCTGTAGTAAATCCACCCCCTCTAGAGGTGGTAGCTAGATTGATGGAAGAATTCTTCCATTGACTTAGCAGTGTCTACACTAGGGCTTAAGTCAATTTAACTGCATCTCTCAGGGGTGTGAATTTTTCACATTCCTGAGCAACATAGCTAGGCTGACCTGCATTTTAGGTGTAGACTGGGCATCACACTTGCAACAGAAGAGCAATACTAAAAACTTTAATTCAAATCAAATCATGGAGACAGTGAAGCCTGGAAGCAGTTAGTGCTTGTTTTCTGATAACAGAAGTTCATATATTTTTACTTCCAACATGTACATATTCAAGAATTTAAAGCAGCATCTAGTATAACAACATGCTTGTGGATTAAGTAGTATATGGAGCTGTGATGAATTGGGGCTATGTCTGTACAACTTATAAATTCCGATTGACATTGTGAAGTTGTATTATGAAAAACTGCTGTCATCAGTGCCTGTGGCTTGATCTACACCTAAAATCTCACACCACTAAGAGACACAGTTAAGTTGAACTAAGCCTCAGTGTAAACCAGGGGTGGGCAAACTATGGCCCGTGGGCCGGATCCGGCCCGTGAGGACTTTGGATCCAGCCGGTGGGATTACCACCCCCGTGGCGCCGCGAGCTCCACGCCACTCCCGGAAGCGGCCAGCACCATGTCCCTGCAGCCCCTGGGGGTGGGGGGCAGAGGGCTCTGCATGCTGCCCTCGCTTGCAGGCACTGCCTCCCGCAGCTCCCATTGGCCAGGAATGGGGAACCGCGGCCAATGGGAGCTTTGGGGGAGGTACCTGCAGGTGAGGACAGCGTGCGGAGCCCTCTGCCCCCCCTCTTCCTCAGGGGCCACAGGGACGTAGTGCCAGCTGCTTCTGGTAGCGGAGCAGTGCAACGCGGGGCCAGGACATCCAGGGAGCCTGCCTGAGCCCCACTGCGCGCCGCTGCCACCCTGGAGCCGCTCAAGGTAAGTGGCACCAGGCCAGAGCCCGCACCCCTCCTGCACCCCAACCCCCTGCCCTGAGCCCTCTAGCCCCCTGCCTTGAGCCTCCTGCCGCACTTCGCACCTCTCCCCCCCTGCCCTGAGCCCCCTTGTACACCCCACACCCCTCCTACACCCCAACCCCTTGCCCTGAGCCCCTTCCTGCACACCCCACCCCCTCCCGCACCCCAACCCCCTGCCCCAGCCCTATATTCATGGCCCTGCATGCAATTTCCCCACCCAGATGTGGCCCTCGGGCCAAAAGTTTGCTCACCCCTGTAGACAGTGCTAGTTCAATGGAAGAATGCTTCAGCTGACCTAGCTACTTCCTCTTGGAGAGGTGGATTTACTACAGTGACAGAAGAACGGCTTCCCTCGCTATAGTAAGTGTCGAAGCTTAACACACCCCCAGAGATCCAGAGCACAGAGACTAGGATTCCCCTTACAGAAATCCTAGTGGGTGGTCAACAGGGAACTCTCACTAGAATCAGTCATAGGCATTTATGAGCCAAGAGGCAATGCTTGTCACTGTAAATAATTAGTAAACTCTACAGGAAGTAATAATACTCTTTGAACTTCTAAATCTGAAGTAGAGTCCTACCTAATAAAGCAGGGCTAAAGACAGAGGAACTGAATTTCTTATGAAAATTCCATATTAAAAGACATCAGCGCTTTTGTAAGATATTATGTGCAGACTACGCCAGCAGGAAGAAAGCACAGATCATATCAGTTAGTAGCAATGGAGTGAAGAAAGGAAGTATTAAAACAAAAGATAACAGGAATCCTAAGGAGGAGTGTTTCTATAAAAAGGTTTAGAAGATTTACTTACCATTGCATAGTAATTACTATTAACCATAATTGGCCCACGTCCTCTTAGGTAGATATATTCTTCCCACCAGTCGCTAACCTACAGAATGAAGAGAACAAAATTTAGCATAAACTCATTAGCCTGTATCTCTGCTCTTCAACTGATTCATGTCCTCTACTGTAGTGGCTCCAAAACACTGGGTAACATTATACACCATGCAGAAGGAATTTTTTTTTTTTTTTAATTAATTCTGAATGCTGAAGTGTCACTGTTTGGGGAAAGAGAGCCACAAGGACCCACGAAACTAAGGTCAGAAATTCAGCCTCAACTCTCAGGTAAGCAACTTTTGAAGCAATCTCCCATCTCCTCTTCAGACAGTATTTTTAAAGTGTCCTTATAATACATATCATAATAAAGTTCTGAAATATTATTCATCCTATGGTAGAGCTGCTCTAGGGTCTGTATAAGCTTGTTCAAACTACCCTGTATAGCTAAGATTTAGATAACAGGCCAGTAAGATTTGTTTTTGTGACCTCTTTTCCCCCCCACCCCAAATGCACCCTCCCAACACACCCCTCACCCACCCATCCCAGTGGCTACAGCTTTGTTTCCCTCTCTAACATGTACACATAATTGGACAGATTCACATCTGCATTAAGTTCATACTCATGCAGCTGAGGAGAGCAGGAGGAAAAGGTGGCTCTAAACCACACTGCTCTTCCACTCCCTGGATCCCAGACTGGCCAGGTGGAGAAGTTGCAAGTTAATTTAATAAGCAAATATAGCAGTAAGTAGGTTTTGAGTCCTGTTCAATGACAGACAGGAAGCCTGGTCTAGAGTAATGAGACAGGAATTCTTAAGTTCTACTCGTGGCTCTGCCACTTACTCACTGTGGCAACACTGAGCAAGTTATTTAATCGTTGTCTCAATTTCTCCACCTAGAAAATGGGGATATCAATACTGTAGAACCTCAGCATTACGAACACCTCGGGAACAGAGATTGTTCGTAACTGAAATGTTTGTAACTCTGAACAAAATGTTATGGTTCTTTCAAAGTTTACAACTGAACATTGACTTAATACAGCTTTGAAACTTTACTATGCAGAAGAAAAACGCTGCTTTCCCTTTATTTTTTTAGTAGTTTACGTTTAACACAGTACTGTACTGAATTGTATTTGCTTTTTTTTTTGTCTCTGCTGCTGCCTGATTGCGTACTTCCAGTTCCAAATGAGATGTGTGGTGGACTGGTCAGTTCTTAACTGTGGTGTTCGACTGCACATGTACTCACCTAGTACACAGAGGTACTGTAAGAATTAATGGATATGAAAGACATTAAAGATGTAAGTGCAAGGCATTTTTAGTAATTTTGGTTTTGGACTTCCTTTAAAATTACAGAAGATTGAAAATTGAAAAAGCATGTATTAAAATCAGGAAAAAAATGCAATAGGAGAGAGAGTTAAAACTATGTGCTTTCATAAGAGCCTTTGGGTCCTCTGCTTACATAGTTTGTGGCCCACCAGGATTTCAGTTTCAAATACCACTGTAGTTTTGGTCCAAGATTAAATGCAAAATCTTTGGCAAGACCCTTCATTCTTTTGAACTGTTCATCATTCATAAGTGGCTGAACTGAATCCAGATACTAGAATAAATACAGAAAAGAATTCATGTCAGTGCCACAGCTTTCACCAGAGCTTATTGTCATTTATTCACAAAGAGCTTAATAAACAAAGGGAAATATTCTAAAGTCTGTTTACAGGGTTTCAGCTGTAACAGGTGTTAGTAAAAAATAATTGAGCGCATACATCTTGAAAGACAGAAGCTCATTTTCTATTACTATATCTATTTCTCCCCTTCAAATATGGTACTTTCTCTTCCCACTCCTACCCCATGTACTCACTACTTGCTTCCAAATCATAAATGAAAGCACATCTATTAGCATAGAATTTTTGGAAAAGTGATTTTCCTTTTAGTAGGTGATATATTTTATATTATGAATTAAGTATTTCCTTAATTTTGAGCCATTTTAGGTATGTTTTTTAGTTACAGGGGACTGAATTAACTGCTATCACTATTTCTGTTGCCTATTCATTTTCATATATAGTTACTTTGCCTAAGGCCAGCAAAGACTTATCACCTGCAAGAATCAAAATAAGACTAAAACTAGTTGGAATCTTGCCTAAAGGAATTCCTAATACAAAGCCTATTATAAACAGGAGCACTATACTTAAGTAACATCAAGAATACACAATAGAGATAATGAAAGCAAGGGATATCAAGGGCTCTATCCCAGTAAATCACACTTCATTGTGTGCTGCTGTATCTACTGACAAGGCATGTAATATCATGCATTTATCCACTGAGAGCCTAGGCCCAAAGATAAAGATTAAAAGAAAAAGTGTCAATCTTTAACTCTGAATTACCCTTGGTCTGTCATAGCCTTTATTTTAATTGATACATAACTGTGTTAATCTGTTACTAAAATTGGAGGGATTGGAATGTTAATAGCATTAACCACTTCAGTACATTTATCATATAAGAGACACTGAAAACCATTACGACATTTGGAATCAAATTGTGAAAAAGTGAATTCAGCTCTTCCAACAACACACCCTGTTAACAGTGTTTTCAACAGCTGGGACCGGCAGTCGTGGCAGAGATGTCTGAAAGCTGTACAACATTGGTTTACAACCTGAGAAAAGCTTTACCAGCCTCTGAAATAAAAAACAAACAATCTATTACATTCAAAACAACTGAAAGTATGTGTGAGATGAAAATTAATAATACCCTAGCTTTTCATCAGTAGGTCTTAAAACACTTTACAAAAGAGGTAAACATCATTATCCCCATAGTGCACTTTGGAACTCAGGAGACCTGGGTCCCCAGCTCAGCCACCAGCCTGAGTGACCTTGAGCAAGTCACTTTACCTCTTTGTGCCTCAGTTTTCCAATCTAGTGTTCTAGCCACTAGGACACATTGCCTCTGTTGTATAGTAAAGGCCTGGTAAATGCCTCTGTTCCCATCCTAAAGGCGACAGGAGAAATGTCTATGATGTAGACCATAAAAGTTCTCTATAAAGTGTTTTTCTGAATAGGTTTACCTCTTTGAAGACTAGAGGATTGGCAAGACTGAACACTGCTCTACAGCCAAAATGCTTCTGAAATAAATGTAGTCAAAC